TGGATCCCAGATGTACCTGGGAGCTCTGTGGTAAAGCTAGGAAAATGCAATACATGCTAGGGAGAGGACAGGTTAACACTGAGTATTTATATTGTAGCATCTAGTCAGTCATTGCTGAAGGAAGAAAAATAACTGAAATAATACAGCAAAACTTCTTTCTTGGTTTTTTTTTTCCTCCACGTGGCAAGTTCTTAGCTCTTCCCTTCTGTTAAAGATTTCACAGATCTTGAAAGCCTTAGGGGGTATCTGTGTTTGAGGAAGGCTTGGCAAGTGAAAATACTTATGACTATGAAAGCCAGGTAATGAAAGAAAAAGCACATTTCATTTGTAAGCTATTGGATAATGTTGGCATTGCCGGATGAATGCTAAGTAATAAAGTGGAGAATTAGGGATTGACTGAAGGGTCTTGAAGGAGTCAAACTGGATGAACTTACGGATACATAAGTTGCTTACAGAGCACATGGGTAAAAATAGGTTGAAACGCAAAGGAGAACACACTACAAATGATGAAACATTTTGCACCTTTTCGATTTTCAGCTGGAATGGTTCCCTCTTTGAGCTTCAGTGATACAGTATCATCTTGTCCTGTCTGACTCATTAAAATTTAAGGATTCTGGTCTGATCCTAAGGCAGAGGAGTAGTGATCTCACGTGTATCTTATCATGATCCTTGCCCAGTCCTTCTTGAAACAAAAAGGTTTCTCAGAAAAGAGTTTATTCACGTATGCCTTTGTAACCTGTTGATAGGGTGTTGTTGGTTGTTGATAAGGTGAAAACCTTGCCTCCTCCTGTTTCTGACTGTGAAAATTTTATCATTTGGAAGGTTTTTTTGGAAGAGACAAAGTAGGCCTATGGTTACTGCGTTCTTTTGGCATATCTTTTAGGCTTGACATGTGAAATATAGCTTGAGCTCTGGACCCCTTTTCCTCCTCACCAGTTAGAAAGATCCAATGGAAATGTGAGATGTGTGAACTGCGGAGGATGTAGTGTGGCTCCAAGTAAGAGAAATGATCTTTAGATTTTGTAGATCTCCAATCTCCACCACCTTTTGGGCAGCAAGATATGACTGGCTTCTGCCAGAGACGTGCTCAAACTGCCAAGTGGAATGGATCAAGTAGGCAATTTGTAGCACATTGCTTGTTGTAACATGTTAACCATTGAAACATTGGATCTGCTGTTCAGGATGTTGGTAATGAAAATTTCAGTCACTTTTTCACTGCCTGCCAAGAGTGACAGAGTAACAATTTCTAGTGGTGATGTGTCCCCCCCATCCACCCTGGTTGACTCCTGAATGCTTCTCTTGCTAGTTTGGAGGCTTTCATGAGGCTTTTCCTGAACCCATGGAGGCTGATCTGCAACACTCATTTTCTGATTGTTATAATTGATGGTTCTAGCTTATGTCAACCATTAGAGAAGATCAAAAAGAAAATGCTAACTTTATTATAGAAAAAAGATGATTGAATATGATAGTGGGAAACTCTTGAAGGACTAGTATAATGTAGATCAGAAAAGTGAGAGATATTAAGCTCTTTTTCTGACTTTTGCTTGTAATTTCTTAGAAGTACTATGCAATGGATCTTTGTAGGCTGCTATTAATTGGAAGCAAATTCTATCCTGAAGGTTTTTTCTATCTGTGCTTGGAGAGTTCATATTTCATATTGAATTTTTTTAACAGATTGACAAAAACAAATGCCCCAGCTCTTATATTTAGCACTTTGGGGTATCATTCTGTGTTGTGCCCTTGCTTTCAGTCTTAAAGTTTTTTTCAGAAATAAATTTCTCTGAATAAGGCATGATCACAGAAATCAGTTCTAAGCTTATGTGTCTCCGCTGGCAAGACAAGTATATTGCAGTCATAAACTTACCTTGTAACATTTAAAAATAAAAATAAATGTAGAAAAGTATTTCAGCATTGTGCAATAATTTGTCTTTTGGCTTATTAGCATTATATTGAACTAAATATAATAGTACATATATGTACTGTTTCTAACACAGGTGTCTGTTGATATGGCTGTGACAACCCACATGTTCTTCTCCCCTCCCCCCATTTTTTCATGTTATATCATAAATAGAAGTACATCAAGTGGGTTCTTTTCCTTCCATGAGAGTTCTTGAGGGTTTATTTGATCATAGTGGTCTTCAGTCAGCATGTTGCTTTCAGCTTCTGACATCTTTGCCATCACAATTGGTTTAAAAATTGTAGCAAAACTTTATGAATCTTTCTATCATAAGAGATATTAGCAGTGTATTGTCTTGCCTTTTACAAGGCCCACAAAGACTGTGTAGATGTGACAAGAGATGTTTGAAAATTGGGATGTTTGAAGTGTGCAGTACAGCCCACACAGGTCTCCTGTCATATTCTCGGTGTCAGGAAAAATACTCCATCACTGCTAATGAAAAACAGGAATCTTATCAAGCAGGAGAGTTTGAGCCCATCTTGTTGCAACTCAGTTTGAAAACTTAGTTCTTCTAGATCCACACCAATAACCACCTTCTCTGTTGAGCCCCACTAGCCTTTCTTGGGTTTGGAGCGATTTTTTTATTTGTTTGGTTTTGGTCCATTAGTACAATTTCTGAAACTACAAGCTCTTCTATATAGATATTTTGGTCCAGATGCTCTGCATTACCTTTTACACCGAAGTACCAACTAATTTGCTACTAAGTATTTGCCTCTGTAAAGGGAAGAATGCAGTTCCATCAGGTGCACAGGAAGACTAGAAAATGAAGCCAGTGCTGAGCACAGATGTGTTGGGGGTGCCTCAGTAATCCTCTCAAACAACATCCTGGCCAGCTAATTATAGCTGCTGAAATGTCTCAAAACATGGCACAGTAACAAGCAGTAACACCTGTCTGGGTGGGCTGGGTGCAGCTAAACCTTATAGTCTTGGTGATGTTCTCTCTCTCTCTCTTTCTGAATCCTTTGCCTGTTTTTAATCCTGCTGTAGTTTAAACACCTGTCTATCTGGAATGTGTGAAATGTAGCTATTACCCATGCTAAGCTATTTTCTCACCTGCTTAAAAAGACAGCTTTCAAGTAAACAATGATACATTGATACAATGATAATTAAAGAGGAAAACATGTCATAGTAATAGAGTAGGATTGAGGTGGTAATTCATCAGACTAAATGGTTCTTGGCATCAACATGATGAGGAGAGAAAATTGGATGAAGTCATCTTCATTTCACACATTGGATGTGTTAGCAAAGTTGTGATCACTGTTGCTGACAAGCTAAGAATTGTATAGAACCTATTTTATTTACCATGTTGCCTTCTGTGTTTGCATCATTTACCATTCTTCCTTCTTTTCAGACAATAAATTCTTTGTGACCAGCAACTGTCATTGTTAGGTATTTGTATAGTGCCTGGCACAATCAGAACTAAATCTAATTTGAAGCTTTCTGTTATGGCAATGAAGATGCTTTAAATTTTAATTAAAGTCTACAGAACACTGTGACATTATGAGTGAGGTAGAGGCACCAAAATGACACCTAATACTGTTTTCCATTTAAGGTGGATAATACTACCTATTACTAAGCTTGCCTGATAATGTCCTACTGTAAGATCTTAAATTGCTTATAGGGTTCTGAAACTTTATTCATTTGAATTAATGTTTTCTATGCTTGTTGTTCAGTTTTCATAATACTTCAGGCAAGGTGAAGTATGCCAACCAAAACCAAGGCTGGATTAAAAAAATATTTTGCGCATTTTAATATTTACAGAACTTTTCTTTTAAATCTCTTCATCTCCCATGCTTTGAAATAGTAATTTAGAATTCAGAATTTTGTTGAAACTTGATTGCAGAATAACTGTTTGAAAAGCTTCAGATGTAATATACTCAGCAGGACCTGCTAGACCTTCTCAGCTTCCTGAAGGTTCCCTCCACACTGAGGATGCTAAACCGAATTTCTCTGTATTTGCACCTCTAATGTACTTTGGCTGGAGCTTCTGTTCTCCTCTGTTTTCAGTAACTTGGTCCATGATGGGTTGGGGACCTGTCTGACTTGACTGCAGAACTAGTAGGAGTTCTGCCAGCCTTTGGAGAACAGCTGGGATATGGAGGCTGTGAAATTTCTATCTGGACATAATTTAGAAGGACACTGAGAACCATTCAAATGGAAGAACAGAAATGGATGGAGTGGTAATGTGGTAAACGTGGTGCAGTGAGCAGCCCACATTCAAGGATTGGATGAACAAAGAGGCTGGCAAAAGGAGTGGGCTGGGAAGGGGAATAAAACCAGAACTACTAGGATATAGGTCATGTGAGAAACCAAGAATGGAAGTGTGGAAAGACAGATCAAGTAACTACTCCTGTGGAAAGTTCTAGACCTGAAATAGTGTGGGTCAGGGTCCAAAAGTAGTGGGGAAGCTAGTGCTGGAAGTCTGTAAGAATGAGACTGTACTGAGGAAAACAAAGAGAATGACACCTGAAATGCAGGTGCTGAGACTGTGAGAATAATGACACACAGATGAGGAGCAAGAATGGGAAAGGATATGGAGCTGAGAAGGGATGGGATAAAAGTGGCTGCTTTTGGAGAAGTGGGCAAAAACCTAGGACAGGTGTATATGACTGGCTTACTGACACAACTTACGATGACTGGAGAGATACTCTGGTCTCTGCTCAGTGTAATACAAGCTTCTGGCTTTTGATCAATGCATGTGGAGTTTATTTTGCACATGGCAGAAACTTCTTTACTTTGGGATTTTTGCCCTGTCTTTGTCCTTTTCCTCCTCTGTTCTCTGAATGCAAGGGTTGTAATTTTCATGCTGGCCCCTGAATTCATTGAAGGCACGGTGGATGTTGGTGTCATCTCTCACTGCCTTATGCAACTAGCATAGTGTTTTTGTGTTTGAATATTTCCATTTTCCAGTAGTTTCACTTCTCTTAGTACAGTCTATCCCATTTACTTAGTGATACCTCTTTCTCTTTTCTTGGCTTTTAATTGTTTCTGATGTTTTTTTGGGTTTGTTTTTGTTTTGTTTCTTTTTTTTTTTCCTCTTTAGTTATCAAGCCTGGACTTGGCAAGTGGAGTTATAAGCAAGGGGAATGCAGCTGCCCCACAGAGCCACTGGTCACCACTCAACAAAAGAGGGTCACTGTTGCCTGTTCAGTCAGGCACTCATAGAGATGACAAAAGATCTGTCTCTTCAGCAGTCAGGTAAGTTAAAATTGCTGCTCTAGCTTTTTGAAGAAGAATGCAATGCCCTCAGGAGCTCATTTGTAATTTGTGTTTGGCTTCTTGCTCAGATGCAGGAGTGTATCCAGAGAAGGGCAACAGAGCTGGTGAAGGGTCTGGAGCACAAGTCTTATGTGAAGCAGCTAAGGGAGCTGAGGCTTCTCCTGGAGAAAAGGAGTCTTTGCCGGGGGGAGGGGTGGGGAGGGCACAATATTGCTCTGTACAACTCCTTCTAAGGAGGTTGTAGCAAGGTGTGTGTTGAAGTTCTATCAGAGGAAGTTTAGATTAGATATCAGGAAAAAATTATTTACCAAAAGGGTTGTCAAGTATTGGAACTGGCCAGCTAGGGGGGTGGTGGAGTCACCTGAGGGTTTTTAAAACATGTATAGATGTGGTACTTAGGGACATGTTTTAATGGTGGACTTGGCAATGTTAAGGTTAACAGCTGGATTTGAGGATCTTAAAAGGAGGATATTTTCCAGCATAAACAATTCTATGATTCTAAAGACTTAGTAATGGTTCCTCTCAGGTTTAGGAGCTAGCCCTATGAAAATAACTGTGTTCCCAGAGCTGTCAGGTTCCTGGTGAAATAAGGGCATAGATGAACATGGTAGATGAGAGGGAAATGTCTGTTTTTCCTTGATCATTTCCCATCCCTGCATCTGTAAGTTTGAGTTTGCTGGCATTGAGACGTGTATGCAGAATGCAAACTTAGACCTGATGCTGCAAAAATCTCCTCTAAGTCCTCATCTTTATGCTTTCTTCTAGCATATCAAGTTTAGATTGTTTAAAGATAGAGCAGTGTTTATCAGAGTTTCTTTTCCAGATGTCTTCTTTATTATTCTATATTAATTTTGTGCATTGGAATTTATATTTACGGCTTATACATCCTTGGGATCAGGGCAGAGGACTGATTCTGCAGTAAAACCATTCTTTCTGTGATTCAAAGAGCAGCAAGATTTACTTGCAGGAGTCTGAATCTAGGAAGCTAAGAACAAGGAAAATTTGCTGAAGTAACTAGACTGGAATACAAGCCCAAGTCTGCTGGAGATTTGAGTTTCTTCCATAGCCACTCCAGTAAAGAATATTGATTCCTTTGCCTAGGTGTTCAGTTTTGTCTTTTAAAGCAGAATAATAAAGTAGAGCTTCTCCAAGACATGAGTCTAGGTCTGGAAAGCACTGAGTATGTGAAAATACTGATTTTTATCACTGATGCCTGAATGCTGCTGGGAAATTGAGGGACGTGAGAGAGGGAGAAACACAGTACAGAAGGCATGTGATCCGAGTGGTGGTCCTTTCCCAAATGAGTCTTTCAATAGAAAGATTGTAATGGGATTTGGAAAGCTCAAGTAAAATTGCTCTTATTTCATCAGCCACTACTTTTCATCCTGCCTAAAGAAGAGGAATGTGAGAAATGAATTCCTGGCCTGTTTCTGTTCCAGCACAATGTTTGCCTCAGGGGTTTAAAGTTATTGAGAGAAGTGGTGGTGATTCTGCTCTTGGACCTCATCCAGGCAAGCTATTACCTAGTCCAAATAAAGAACCTATCCAACAGGTGTAAACTGCCTTCCCCCTCTACATGGCTTGGGAGAGCAGCAGCGTGCAGGCTGTCCTAGAACTTCCATTCCCTTTTCAGCTCTGTTTGCACCTTTGTATGGGCTCACAGACAGAGCTGCAAACCTCACCACTAATGCCCAGAACTCCATTCTAAATGACTTCCAGGGTGGTGCCTTATCTAGCATTGTGTGTATAGTTTAATGCCTTTAGTTAAAGCTTCTGTTTTACTTTGTACAGCGATCTGAAAATACTTCAGAATTTTCCAGTAACAACTGATAGAAGATTCCATCTTCAAACCTTTTATGAGTCATTTAGTCTTTCGTTACTTCAGTTGCTCTGTTTTTATCCTCAGAACAAGAGTCAGGAAGATGCCTTAAGACTCCCTATTGAATTATTTTATCTTCATAAATAATAATGTCATCTTCTTCTGCTTTTATTGAATGGCCAAAATACTGGGGGTTAAGAGTTTAGTGTAAATTTGTAAATGAAAAAAAAATTCTTGAGGCAGTGCTGGATTACTTGGTCTGTGAACTTGTGTTTACTGAGAGAATTCCAAAAGGAGTATCAAGGTCATGATATATGGAGATGACTATTTTGTATTGTAAATGCCTTTTTTGCTACTTGATTTGCTACATTGGAGCAAGCAATTCATAGAGGGTCATCTGATGGGTGTCAGCCTGTGCTCAGTGCTGGATGACTGAAGAAAAGCTTCCTTTTTTGTTCCACTGAGATTCTTGTCTATGAGTTGCAGAATTCAGCAAGGATGGAAATATTCTATGAATGGGTCTCTTATCTGGCTTGCACATAGCTCCAGTTCAGATATGTCTCTAAAGTGCAGTCCTCACAGTTTTTCTATAGCTCTATGGTAACTTTAATCCATTTTAATGCTGCTGAAGTTCATTAGAAAATTTTGATTTGATGCTTGCAAAGCTGTAGGATTCAAGTTATTCTTTTAGACAAATCACCTTGTCCCTTTAATTCCCACTCTCCCAGTACTGACTTATCTAAATGTATCTCAAAAGAAATTTTCATTTCATGTGTTGATTCCTTTTCTCTGCACGAGGTAAGGTGCCAAATTAGCAGTCTGCTTGCCAAAAGGCAAAGGAGATTTTGGGTTTGTAATACTGAGACAGAGGACCGTTCTAGATATGTTAAAACGTTATTTTATAAATCTGCACTGCTGTGCATTTTGAGATTTTCTTTTTGCCACTTTGTATAAGCATTGGCATTATTTCCACTCAAATGATGGCCTAGCCTGTTGCTGCACCTCAGACAAAGAAGCTGCAGAGCTGCACAAGAGGTGAAATGTTCCAAGTTGTATGTGGCCTTACTTGTGACTACTGTGACATGACTGTCAACCTCTAACACTTTTGCTGCAGACCTGCCTTTGTTGCCGTCTGTACATCAATGAAGTTTTGCCAAATCTGTTCTCTCCTTCTTTAATCCTAGTCCTGTCTCAGTGCCCTGTCTCATTTCTGTCACAGCTTTTCACTCAGTCCACTGGGCAGGATTGTCACTCCTTCACATTCTGCTGTAAAGGCATTAAATGTGATTACATGTTTTGTAATAGAGTTATTAAAGATAACCATATATAATTTTTATCGTCATTTAGTAATGTAATACAAGGACCACAACCATGAAAGTGATTTCTTCATTATCCAGTGAAAACTGAAGCCAAGCCCATACTAGAGCTGCTCTTGAAAAAGCGTTCTCCTGAAAGCATTCCTGGTTTCATAATAAAGTAAAAAATCAGGTGTTTAACAGAATGAAACTTGTTCATTCAGAACATAAACTAGCTCTAAATTACCTGTTAGCAAATATCCTGAGTTGTGAGGACAGTAGATGGAGGTTAGTTGAAGTTTCTAGCACTGGAATTTGCAGCTGCTATGCCACTATTTAAAAAAAAAAGAATGGGCTCCTTGGGCTCTGCAGGTCACTGAATCTCGAAGACCTGGACCAAAACTAGCAAGGAAGATTCTTTCTAGCTGGTACAGATTCCTGTGTTTTCAGTAGGCACCTTGAATTCAGCAGCAGCCATCGTTGCTCATGTTCATCTTGTAGAATTCATAGGAGCAGTAAATTGGCAAAAATTTAGCAGTGAAATGGTCAGTGTTTTCTCAGATCTCTGTTTCATTAACTTCTTGCTCTTTCATAGCATCTGTCTCAAACCTGAAGACTGACCTTGCACTTCTAAACTGCTCAGCGTATTTTTTCCTTGAATTTTTTGACAGGATTTCTTAACCTAATTTGGTTAGGGCAGGCAAATTTCCTTGTCATCAGTCAGAGAGAATGGCAGTCGAATTTATATTAGAGAGCCTGTGAAGGGCTACTGCAGTTGGAGAAAAGGGATTCTCCTCTTTTCATGGCTTGATGTGTCTGAAATACTTCTTAGCTCATTTCTGCCAAGATGCTCTGGTTCATCAAGAAATGATGTTTTGTTCTGATCTAAGGGGGTTTTAAGTTTAATTTACTCTGATATCAGTTTCAGTGATAGTAATAGCAACAGCTCTCAGGGCCTCACAGGTGGTGTGCACATACCTGCTGTATGTCTAGGTTCCCAAACAATATGTGCTTTGGGTATTTTAATTTTTATTTTTCCTTGCCTAGAAGTATTAAATAGGGTGGAGAACCACAAGATGCTGTCTAGACATTTATCATCTCAGATGCTTCTGGGTCACATTACATATATTTACTGCTCCTGTACAAATCAACAACGTAGGTGCATGAAATTCAGTACTACTTAAAAAGATTCCTGTGCTTGCTCTAATAGAAAATATGTATTAATTTATATCCCAAAAATTCTACAACAAAATGATTGTACACTCTGCTCACTTGCACACCCCATCTCACAAACTGAGATTGCTGTGCTGCATCCCCTGACAAACAGACAGTCTCCCAAATCAGGACCTTCCATTGAATTGCTGGCCTTCCCTAGCCCTGGCTGGGTAGTGGGTACTGTATATCCTGATTCCCCACCTAGTGCCTACTACTGATTCATTCCAATTTCTTTTACTGCTCTGGGTATGTATGCTATGTGTTCTAGGTATCATATACTCTGATCACACGAAGTATATATATCCTTTGGACTTGTGAGGAAGAATCCCAGGTCTCTTTTGAGAGTTTTCTCTGAGCTGGTGTATATATGGCTTCTGTAGCTTCACTGATCTTTGAGTTTTGCCAGAAAGTAATCACCACTAATTATGGTTCACTGGTCTCAAGCCTTTGTGTCAAAGGGGCAGTTGGCTGTGTTTGACATGAAGGGAAGCTGAAAGTGGCTTTGTTGGTTCCTCAGTTTTTAATTTCAGAGTTTGGAGCTGTGGAATGTGAAATATGAAATCATGCTTTTGGACCCTGACTAGGCAGGCTCTGAAGAACAATGAGAAGAGGGAGACTGAAATAGACAAAAGATGTGCAGGGTGATTCTT